ATTTTTATTTTTAGGACATGAAATATTAACCAAAAATGGACAATTCATCTTCTTTGAAGCTGTATCTTTACTTGAATTGGAATCATAACTTCGACCATAATCACATATAAACGTTCGTCATCGTACAACATCTTCTTCATGATATACTCGATCTTTGATAATTCGAAAACCCTGTTTCTTAGCCCATTTACATAAAAAGGCCTCACACAACTCCCAATTTTGAAAAGTCTTTACAACATATAAATTTACTGTTTCGGGTTCGATAATAGATTTATCTAATTCATTTGAATTATCCATTGTTTAACCTACGAAAAAGCATAGTTCTAACTGTTAGTATGATGCAATTTTTTTTTACTGTTATTATGTCAATTTCGTTATCGCGATGTAATATATAATGTTCAACACAAGTTTATTTTATTAAATGTGCGATTAAAACTTAGATTAGGTGTTACATAAAATTTAATTAACTTGGTTTTTTATAGGGTATAGCGTTATAACGCTATAGCGATAAACTATATTATTATTATTATATATATATATATATTTTTTTTTTTTTTTTTACATATAATTAAATTTTTTTTGTCAATATACAAAAAAAAATTTTAATTGTGTAAAAAAATTTTTTACCCAGCCTGCCGGTTTATTTCATGTTATGAGAACCAAAAAATTAAAACTTTGTATAGCCTTAATAAGAAAAAATTTCTAAATGTAAAAAAAAAGCTCTATTGTTCAATATTATTTTAGCGATAAATGAATTTATAAATGAAGCTAGCAGCAACTATATAAACAACGTCAAAGAAGACAATTATTTGTAAAACTTCCATCTATTCATTATTTCATTCCATAACATTCTTTGTTCAACTATTGTGCGTCCATCAAGTACTGAAGAGTTTTCCTGAGCTCTTCTTATCAAAAATGGAATCACTTCATTTACCTTAATAATGAATGTATTATTACAATTAAATTTATTAAATTTTTCAGATTATTTATGTTTTTTAATGCGATTTTTATTTACCTTTCCATATGCTAAATATTTATATACAGGATAATCGAGATTAGCAAGCGTATATGTAATTTGATCACACATTCCTATATTACACAATATAAATGAATTTAGATACTTGATAATAAATAATGATGAAAATATAGAAAAAAATAAACATACCATACAATTGAGCAAAATATATTGCCCCAGAATTTAAATCAATTCCAAATTGCTCTATTTTTTCAGATGCCTTAATTATGGTTTCCTGATTATGCGAAGCAATCATAAATGCTAAAGGGCTATTTCTAATATTTAATACTTGATTGTTGTCGTTTTTAACTTCTAATTTCTTTTTATATTCATACAATTTGCTTAACAAAAATTCAACAGCATTATTATAAGATTTATGAGTATCTTTTATACTATCGTGTATAGGATCAGGATAACCTAATTTCTTGGCCATTAGACTTTCACTAACCATATAGGCACCACGGACAAGCTTTGCAGCAAATATAAACTCATATCTTTGTGAAAATTCATAATCTCTTTTTAA